TTGTGGAGAGAGTGGAGAGTCTTGCGCACGCGTCCGTCTCTCGGTGCGCTGCTGGGAGGTTTGGGTGTGAGCGTGAGGACGCCTGCGCTGCCCGCCGGACTCAGGGTGTGTGTGAATGGCTGGCTCACGGGGATGCTGGGAGCGTACGCTCGCGCTGAAACTGCAGGCCTGAGGGTGTGTGACGCCAGAGCGGCCTGAGGCACAAACACAGAGAAGAGTTAGGGAACGTGCATGCATTCATATTGTGGGTTCCTGAAGTCTAACACACTACTGAAAATAAAATGCTTGTGGATGCTAATCTAAAAGTGATGTTTGGAATTATGTTGGGGTTTAAATATTTTCTCATATCCCAGTTTAATATGCAGCATAAACTATAATCATGCAGTTGTTCGGTTTCCCGTGAAGAGTATAAAGGACCGTTCACACCTAGATGGATCAACTATATTAGACTTCACACCAAAGCAGGATAACACCCTGTTTATTATAAGCATTACGTAGTTCTGTCATCTGCTGCTTTAAATGCACAACTAATCAAGGGCTTCATTAGTTGCACCAGGTGTGCTTGAGCTAGAACACATGAAACAACTGAACTGGCTAGGTTTGTTGAGTGTCACATTTTACTGCATGCTAGAAAAATGGCTAAGTCAAAAGCATGGTCCACAAAGTTGAGAAGATACAGTATCATCGCCCTTCCCAAACAAGGAACAGATTATAAAAAGATAGCGAAGGCACTACATGTTCCTAGAGACACCGTTAGAAGCATAGTTCGCAGGCTCAAAGCTAAAGGAGCAGTGGTTAAAAGTCAAGCTCTTTTAAAGTCAGATGGATTCTGATTCGCTGTCAGTATTTTTATCGTTCTACAGCTGGGAAAAATGTTCTGCAAGTGATTCCAATGCAATGTTTGTTTATCGGTGTTTTTATAGTCATGGTGTGGGCTCCACTATTCTCATAGAATTGTAATGATTATTAAAACTTTATTGATGTAGTTTTTGCTATTGTCATCATCCTTGGTTTAAACAGGCCTTAACACTGTGACGGCATCTGGACATATAGTTGAGCATGACACTGGCTCAATGGAACTGAGTTTGAGGTGGGACTGTTTATCTGACCAAAGAGACAAAGTGTGTGTTCAAGAAACAGTTTAGTTACACACTTCACCTATAATAAAACAAAAATCTGCAAAATTGACACTTCCTGTCAAAAGTTTGTAATCATTAAGATTGTTTAATGTTTTTGATAGAAGTCCTTTCTGCTCATCAAGGCTGCGTTTATTTGATCAAAAATACAGTAAAAACGGTAATATTGTGAAATATTATTATCATTTAAATGAACTGTTTTCTAATTCAATATATTGTAAAGTGTAATTTATTCCTGTGATCAAAGCTGAATTTTCAGCATCATTACTCCAGTCTTCAGTGTTACATGATCCTTCAGAAATATATTTGAAAATAGAACAGCATTTATTTGAAATATAAATATTTAGTAACATTATAAATGTTTTCACTATCACTTTTGATCAATTTAAAGGGTTAGTTCGCCCATTTAAGACATGAAGTTGTATGCAATCCTTACCAGCACTATAGTACATACACACTGACCCACTCTGTTGTCACCTCCCTGGTCAGAGTTCTGGCCGCTGGAAGTTTTTCAATAAAGTACTCCTGGTTATTTTTCCGGGGCCACAAAACTGTGCGTTTTTACGTGAAAAAATTCTTTGCGTTTCAAAGCTTGATTAATTTACCTCACAAAAAACACGCCGGTCAAAATTCATACTTCAGTTTTAATCGGCACTATTTTCGATCCATTTATATCAATCCGCGCTGCTGTCAACGTCAACAGTGCGCACGTTCCGATCAGCTGTTGATAGCGCGACTCGCTGACAACATGTCTGACTGCGAAACTTCTGATGATGAAACCAATTTTAGCACAATGCCAGACGGATCAGATGATGAAAGTAATTTTAGCACAACGACAATGTTATTGATTGCAACACAAAACCTCAATTGTGTGTGTGTTCAATCAAATAGTTTTCTCAGCAAATTGTACCAATATCCCTATAGCTGTTTTTATATTAGACATCTTTTCACGTGTTTTATAATGGAGTCTAAACTTCAGTTTAATCATAAAGTTAGTAAATAGAGCTTACCCGTGGTACTGGTACAGCAAAACTCTTTAATTTTCCTTTTCCTCCTTGGTTGGGGATCGTCTTCGCTGAAGTGAGCACTACACACACGAAAATCCTTTATTCTGGATATTTTAGCTCCCGCAGAGTAGCCGATGGCAACCAGCCAAAGCTGTCTCATAGTTATATTCGAAACAGGAAAACGATGGAATCTGAACTTTGATCCTGGCACAATTGTGGTCACAGCCTGGGAATTTACAAGTTCGCACCATTGTTAATTTAATACTTTTTACGTCATTGTCAATCGATTGTGTAAACACTATGGAACAGCTGATCGGAACGCGTGATTTTTTTTTCCCAAACCACGAAATCCCGCCCTGCAGCCGATTTCATTGGTTTAGGTTACAGTGACGGGTAGGTTTAGGGATCAGTGTTTGGTGAAGGCAATCTGTACAGTGATTGACATGACCAATGACAACTTTAGAATCAGCTGCAGGGCGGGATTTCCGCTGAAGTGGTTTGGGAAAAAAAAAAATCACACGATCGGAACGTGCGCACTGTTGACGTTGACAGCAGCAGCGCGGATTGATAGAAATGGATCGAAAATAGTGCCGATTAAAACTGAGGTGTGAATTTTGACCGGCGTGTTTTTTGTGTGGTAAATTAATCAAGCTTTGAAACGCAAATCATTTTTTTCACGTAAAAAGCACAGTTTTGTGGCCCCGGAAAATAACCGGGAGTACTTTATTGAAAAACTTCCAGCGGCCAGAACTCTGACCAGGGAGGTGACAACAGAGTGGGTCAGTGTGTATGTACTATTCTGCCGTGCAAAGGCAAAAGACCGTAACTTCGTGTTTGGTCGAAAATTAGTTTTTTATATTTTTGGCACATTCAAGACCCCCTTTATCATGTGCATAAGTATCTTGAGTCAATTCCGTCGTTTTTTCGAGAAAATAATGGGTTGTCTTAACAGTAACTTCCAAAAGCCCGTGAGAAACCAAGGCAGAACACCGTAACACCAGTTACCGCTCTTTGGCTTTGTTTTGGAACGCTCATTTTGAGTTACGGTACTCAGCCTTTGTTTAGCCGCGCGTCAATATGAAGTTACGGTGCTGGCGTTCTATCAAATATGCTACCTTTCAGATTGTACGGTGTTCTGCCGTTGTTTTGCTCTCCATTAAAATTGAAATTACGATATAGCTTTGTACAGCTGCCATCAGTCCCTGTAACTTCTGATGTCCTCAGAGCTTTGTCCAGCACAAATGCGGTCAGAACATTTAGTATGGTCTGAACCCGCTCCATCGACAAACGTGCGATAGGCTATCCATCGCGAATGATATATGCAGAGTTGACAGAAAAAAATGTTACACACGCCGTAGCAGGTGAATACAACAAAGAACTAAAGCCCCGCCTCACCCAGATCGGGTACCGGACCTGGTTGAAACAATCATGCATCTAGCTGGCAGAGTGCCAAAACTTTGCCGGCGCCTTCGGCTCCGCCCTGAACACAGTCGGGCCGACGCGGGACTAATATGTCACAGGGAGTGATAATAATGAAGCAACGGTATATTGGTGCATACAACATAATGAAGCAAGAATTGCTGGTGCATACAACATCAGACAAGCTGTTACAAGCGGGTTGTACCTACAATCACACTGTCCGGAATAAATCCGCAGACAGCTGAAAGTTGAAACCACCGCTACTGAAAAGACGCAGAACACAGAAGGTTGTGCTATAAATGCATTAGTCGTCTAGGTAGTCCAGAGCGCGCTACCCACCGAGTCTCAAGATGGAAAGCACTGCGTTCGTACTTCGTACTTTTCGTGAACGTACGAGGAGCATGACACCTTCGAACACGAATATACTATAAACGAGTCCCCGGGTCGAATGTGCGCGAGGACCTGTTTTATCGTGATCATTTTGAACGCGCGTTTATCAAGTCTTATGCCACTCGGTACCAATTGAAGATCTTACCGCTATGGAGGTATTTTGCCATGTCTCATGTATTAATAATGCCACCAGAATGCAACCAAAGCACAGGGTAGCAATAAGTAGATGTCTATAAGTGTAAATCATACAAAATAAATGCCATGATCACTAGATTTTATACAGGTGTTACTATAATGATTTTGTTAATGGTGATCAGCAACCAAATATTGATAATGTGGAAGTTACTGCCTTTTGACTTGGCATGACTTCTCACTTTTTGCTGACAATGCAAAGGCAGAGTGTCCAGTAACTTTAAAATAGTGGTCAAAAGTCAAGTTTGAGCTCAAGATTTTTTTATGTAGATAATTTTCATTACTAAAACATCTAATTGCCAGATTTACAGTGTCCTACCTATAATTAATTTGGAGGGACAACTGAAAATCTTTAAAGTCATTTTTCTCAGTTCCACACTCTGAGTTAAGGTCTTTCTCATTATTTTTTAATTTTGTAATATTTTGTAACTATTGATGTAATATTAACCCTTACTAGACAGAACTTACTAAATGTTATTTTAAGGCTATTGTTGTTATCATAGAAATGTTTGTATAGAGTGATAAAAGCCAAAATGGTCAATAAATTAGAAGTTAAGGTATTTTGCCTTTGTATGACCCATTATTGTTTTGCAGATAATGCAAAGGCAGAATACAGTAACTTCCGAATAAGGGTCAAAGGTCAAGTTTGAGCTAATTTTTTTTTAATGTAGATAAATATATTCATTATGACAACTACTTGGCAAATTTTCATTGTCCTACCTATCATACAATTGGCTGGACAACAAAAAAACTTTAAAGTCATTTTTCTCAGTTTCACACTCTGGTGAGTTAAGGTCTTTTGCCTTTGTAGGGCAGTATAGTGCTGGTAAGGATTGCATACAACATGTCTTAAATGGGCGAACTAACCCTTTAATCAATTGATGTGCCCTTGCTGCATAAGAATATAACCTTTTTTTTTATTGTTCTAACCCAAACTTTTGAATGTTATCAAGGTTTTTGAGTGTTTCCACAAAAATATTAAGCTGTTTTCAACATTGATAATGTTTCTCGAGCAGCAAATCAGCATTTTAGAATGATTTCGGAAGGATC